TTTTATCGCAAAAACGAATTTTTTGGCCCATCGAAAAGTGCCGCCAATTTTTAATATAGTCCATCAAATCTCGAGAAAAGGGTAATATTCGTGATCAGCACAGCTAATTCCATATAGTGAAATATGTTCCACATAAAATGGAAATAAAAAGTTTTCCATGATGCCTGAGGGGTACCCCAGGCACGAAAAAATGGTCTGTCGTACAACACACAATAGAGTAGTAGAAAATGTTCAGAATTATACGGTGATTCTGGGGGAACTAGTCTTTCGGTCTAATTTTTTGGGCAAAAAAAGCCCCAAAACCGCCACACCTCCTTTCAAGAAAAATCCTCAGAAATCGAAGCAAATTGTAGGAGAAACCTCTCAAAATCGGAAATTTTCTAGAGATGTCTCCCAAAAGCAGAGCAAGCTCCCAGCAAAATCTCCCAATAAAGTCTCCCACAACAGGAGAAAATGGTTCGAGAAAGCTCTTAGAGTCGAAGAAAATTTCCAAAAGAATTCCCAAAAATTGGAGGAAATTCTTACTGAAATCTTTCAAAGTCGCAAACTTTGCCGAATACTCCAACAGTGAGAGAAAATTCTTGCAACATACTCCGGAGATGAAGGAAACCTGTCTATAAAGAGGGGCATTGCGAAGTAACCAAGACTGACGGCGATAAAAGTTAGGACTGGGTAAGCAAAAGAACGAAATTTTCCAATACCGGGTGCTGCCTGCCCCCGGTCACCAGAAAATAGTCTAGACCGATTTTTGAACCAATCTCCCATTTTTGGAAAATACCCTCCCGTAACTCTGATCCCTTTGCGCCGCCACTGCGAGTGATGAGTTTCGGGATGTGAAATATTCGTAAGTCACGAACATGAAAATTTGTCGATGTGATCAAATCACACCCTAATCTCATTCCTAAGCCTTCTTGGATTTTCCCGTCAGGATCTTACAAGATCCCATATTTCTAGGATCTTGTCCAGATCTACGCAAGATCCTACAGATTTCTTATGCCATCTTAATTTTAGGAACTGGAGAAGAAATGACCAGATTTCGTCAAGATCCTGGACATTTTCTTAAAGTTTCCTGACACTAAGAATTCATCAAGAAACATTCAAGATGTTGTAAAGGATCTTATCAAGATTTGGTTCATCAATTGTTACACAAGAATTCTTTCAAAATCTTATAGGATCTGACTAAGATAAATAGTACAAGATTGTCTAGGATCGTGTCGGAGCTTGAGACAGGATCTTCGCAGGATCTTGCCGTACTCTTAGTTAAAATTGAAAATACTTGGTCACAAGTTCCTATCAAGTTTCTCATAGTACCCTATTCTCACTGCTAGCACAATCTTGTTCTGATATTGGTAGCCAGAAATCAGGATATTGACAAGAAAACTTCAAAGTTATCAATAGGATTGTGAAAAGAACGACGTCCTCAATGAGAATCTTGAGATTGTCTTGTTTAAGATCCTACTGTTTCCTGACAAGGTCTGGCCAAAAGTGAGATGGAATTTAAAAATGACTCTCTCAATAGAGATTGCATGAGGATCTACTGAAGATTCTGTCCTCTAGGATCTTGTCAGGATACCGCTCTCAATTACCCAAAAATTTTATATTTTGAAGTCATAAACCACTGTCAATTTTCGACAAGATCCCATTTAGGATCATATAGAATCCTAAATAATAAGGGACCTAGATTTCATTATTGACTATAAATAATTTGAGATGGAAAGTAATAGCGGCCTAATTCTCATGTATTTTAACAAGTGATTCTACTTACATCCTCGGGCAAAAGTCTTTCCCCCTCTTTTTTTAATGCCATCATACTTTGCATCAAATTTATTACCGAGTACAGATATGACACGAGAGTTTTATTTCAATGTGATATATACGCCGTACTGCAATAAAACTCTCATATCATATCTCTACTCAGTAATAAATTTCATGCAAAGTATGGCAAAATAGAAAGACAAAGAAAAAAGACTTGTTCGAGAGTGTAACAGTCAGACATGATAAAATTTCGGTTAGTATATTTTGAATGTTTGATAAGCACGTTGACCGGTTGAGTTCTCGAGACAAGAGGACACGAACACTGTTTCTGTCGGGTACAGACGATGCAGAACAAGTCTGTTCCGCTCAGTGTTGTTTCATTATCTCTTTCAAGAGAAAAAAATAAAATGAGGTTTTCATTGATTATGAAAGCCCAAAAGAAAAGCCACAAAGCCACGTACATGTCCATTTACTCAAAGGTGACATTCACCGAAATAGCCCCACCGAACTTTTGCCATGCGATTAAAACAGAGTATATACTATAGTCTTATGTCACTGATTCAGCTATCAGTCCTTTTCTTTTGTAGACAAATGATCTACTAGATGCAGAATGTCAGGACAAATCGTTTGGTAACAAAATAAAGCCATTTCCGAGTGATCTGGCCTACACCATGCTTGAAATACTGATACTTATTTAAAATATGACTCATGCAGAGGCTTGATGAAGCAGGACTACTAAATCATATAAAGTATACTGAGCCGAAAACTGCCCGAATCAATTGCCAGTCCCAATCTCTACCTCTAATAAAAATTTCAGTTTGAACGGTAAGAGCTTCGGACACTATGACCCAGACATAGTCATGCTAAGGCCTTGTTACGGCAATGTGACAGCATTTCGACATTTTCCCTATCCTATTTTTAGCTACATGCAAAATGAGTGCGATATTCAGAATCAGCACTAAAAGCTGAGTCGAGCAAAATGTGTTGTGTTCGAAAATATTTTCCATCAAAAATCACCTCTGTACCACCCCCCCCCCCCCGTCCCACAGGTATTTTTATAAGTTAATTAGCTCAGGCAGTAATTTTCGATGGAAAGTATTTTTCAATAAAACACATGTTGTTCCACTCAGCTTTTAGTGCTGATTTCGAATATCACACTCATTTTGCATGTATGTAAAAGTAGGATGGGGAAAATGTCGAAATACTATCACCTTTTCGTAACAAGCCCTTACCATGGTTATGTCTGAGTCCTAGTGTCTCGAGAGCTCAGCCAATCAAAGTGAAATTTATATCAGAGATACACATAAGCACGGGTAATCGACTGGGATAGTTTTCGACTCAGCATCTCCTATATGGCATAGTACTGATCTCTCAACAAGCATTCGCATTGGTAATTTTATTCCCAGTATTAGTATTTTAGGCAGAGATTACTCCAGATCACTTCGAAATGGCTTTATTTTGTTACCAAACAACTCCTCGTGAAATTTTGCCCCTAGTAGACTGTTCTTCAATGAGAATCAATCATAACCCAAAATTAGTCCTTAAGCACCCTCGTCCTTTTCAACAAAGCAATATGCTGGGCTGCGAACTCGTGACAGCTGTCCATCTCCCCCGTAAAAACAAATTCTTATTTTCTATCAATTGACAGAGAAAATTTTGCTCTGCAAACTGAAGTAAAAACATTGTTGGCAACGCATTGCATGGAGCCAAAGAATTAAAAATACGCAGTTTTCTAATTTTTCGAGATATCAAAATTTTTTCATGCTACAGTGCATAGCTCTGGCTCCTAAAGGTCTAGGGTGGGTGTGGCTGTGGCTGTGGGTGTGGGTGCGGGTGGGGTATGGGTGGGGTGTGGGTGTGGATGTATGTTGGATAGAAGAGCTAGTCCTACACCCACATCCACACCCACACCCACACCCTCGATATTTTATGCCTCAAAACAAAACAAAAATAGCTTTATTTGTAAGCTGTTTTTTCTTCAAAGCATCTTTATTAAATATGATTTCAAATTTTTTCTTTCGTGAATAATTACTTTTCCCCATCTCCTGTTGCAATGTCTGTTATTGGTTCGTTGTTTGAAAACTATCACCACAAATTACAGAAGCAATATGATCAAATTCGTTGCGTGATACTCGGTTCTATTGACTCAGATCGAACGAAAAAAAGCAGATCCTTTATACGCTAATAGAGCAACCTTTAGTTTCACTAAAGGCTGTTTATTTAATTATCATTGCGATCTTTATAACAACGCTTAACAACTGTTACTGACAATAGAACACATTAAATCAGTTATATAGATATGTCGTCATACATTTAAAAATAATATATCGACAGGAAAATATTAGTGACAGAATCGTCTCTCAATATAGATATGAAAGAAGCGAATGAAAATCATCAGAACATATTGCTGAATTATATCACAAACAGTGCTCCGAATGGTATTGAACATTTCTATTTCTACCTCATCTGACGAATTTTTTTAAATATCCCATTAACTTTCTTTGTTTTCTTCTCTCATGAAAAAATGCAATCTCTGTCTGATGAAATATAGGCTTAAGGCGCTTCATAGGCACGAAGGATAATGGAATTTATTTGACTCTCATTGTTTATCTCTCTTCCATTAACATTAATAGAAGTAGTTTCATTTCTTACTTACTTATTCCATCTTTTATAGAACTTTGAACTGTACAATACGAGCGCAATTCACCCATATATATATCGCAAGAAGAATTAAATTATTTTAGAAAATTACATAATTGCTTTTATAAAAAGAATGCAGGAAATTTTTTTGATCTACCAAAAAAGAATAATTTTCTTCTATGATATTGACATATTAGACTGTGTTTCAGATGAGAGCAAGACTAGATTAGCACTTTGTTAAGTTTGATATTTTTGTTTGGTATTTTGTAAGAAAAAAAACGTTTCTATTTTTGTTCATATAGCTGTTCATTTAATAATAATCAGATAATGAATAATAATATTGTCGTTGAGTATTTCTCTCTTTGAGTTAAAATTTTTTTCGAAGTAGCATTGGAAATGCAATATGCCAGTAATGATTTCCTGTAATTAGCATATGTCAAATGAGGTACTTTAATATAAAGAATAAAAAACAACAATTTCCTGTGTCGTTTTATTAAAAGAGAGAAAAGGAAAAAAACAGTTATACATACTTTTCTCTTGCTAACTATAACTGTAAAGAGTAATATAATATAAAAGAAACAATTGTTATTAAAAAAAGAAAGAAAATGATTGAAAAAGATCGTCGTGAATATTGGTCATCAATAATTCAAATATTAATTGATTTATCAAATTTAATTGAACAATTAATTGTTTATTTTATTGTAAAACAAGAATCAAATAATAATAAATATGAAGAACGTTTGTTTTTTTTTGTTCTTTTGATAATTGGTCTACTTTCTAATCTTCCATCGGCAAGTCCTTATCTTTATATTCAAACAATTGGTTCAATATCAATTGAATTTGGTGAACTTTTATCATATTTATTTCTTTTAAAAAAATCAATAAGTGTTTTTCTTGCATCATTTATTTCATTTAGCATTGAAGTTATATTACATAGTATAAATATAATTGTTGAATATAATTCAATTGAAAAAACAAATCATATTTTTATATTTGGAAAAACAACTTCTTCTAGAATTAAATATGTTCTTATACGTTCAATTAGTTATTCGATTTTTAATGCAACTTCAATATTATTTTTATTTCTTGATGATAATTCAAGATTTCATTATAAATTTTATGAAATATTAATATTATTAACATTTTATTTTCCAAGTATAGCATTAGGTCCAGCATTAGAATCAATAACTAAATATAAATATGAATATGAACAAGATCAAATTCCTCGAATAACTATTTTTCTTGTTTGGAGTTTAATCTGTGCTACCCTTTATTTTATAATGTATTGTATACCTCTTTCAATAACGGGTGTCTTTTTTTCTATTCAACAATTAAAAGAAATAACTCCACCATATGGATATGATTTTGTCGTTTATGTTTCATCATTAACTTTTTTTTCAATAGCTATTATTATTTTTCCTCCTTTTATGATTTGGTGGTGGAGATTTACATATCAAAGATTTAAAAATATGCGAATTGATGCTAAAAAACGATTGAAACAAATAAATGAACAAGATTCTGCGCATTATTCTCTTTAAATAGATCGCATTTATTTTCTTTTTTCGTCTTATTGTATATATATATTAATTATAAATAAATCTTTTAATATATTCACATTAAATAAATATGAGAATATATTTTGATAACAATAAATATATATTAACACGAACAATTGAATACTTTTTCTATATTTTTCATCATTCTTTTTTATTTGAATTAACAAAAAACCAAGTCTAATTCTGATCAAATTATTATCATCAAATATTATTTAACGTGAATAAATATTCATTATCTTTATATTATATTATATTATATTATATACCACAAGATAAGATAAATTAGATTATAGCAATACTATACGATAACGTGACACTAATCAATAGATAATTTATATGTTATGCATTTGTTTTTTTTATTTTTCAACAGTATTCTATTATATCAATTCGGTGCGTGGTGTTTTTTTTTTCACATAATCAATCGATGATAAATATTGAACGATTAATTATAAATGAAGCTAATTAATAGCTTCCAATGAGTAATTATCAATGAAACTGACATTTATATGCGTATTATATAAAATGAATGTATTTTCAATTTTTCGATGACTTCTCTGATGAACAATTCATTAATGAATATTTAAAAATATTATTTTTATAAGTAGAACATCACTATCATGAAGAAGATTAATGATATTCATAGGAAAAGAAAAATAAACTATTGTTAAATGTTGATTATAAAAAAAAGATGAGTAATTTTCAAAATAAAACTTTTTCATAGATAAAATTTTCCCATATGTCAATTGATTTTATAACAAAATACTTATATAACTATTATATTGAATACTCGTAAAACAATTCGTTTGAAATATAATAAAATCGACAAAATCAAATGAGTTTATTACAAATCATTCTTTAACTCTTCGATGATAATTATACCACAAACTAAAACAATTGAGAATATATCGTATATTGACGCTTAATTGATGAATCATGTTATTATAGATATCAATAACTTGATTAGAAAAAAATACACTCAATTAATATCTATCACATGTTTTAAGTTAAGGGTACTTCGTCTCCTCTTTAGAGGATTTCTGGAGAATGGTTCATTAGAGAAATTTGAAATTTTCATGACAGGTAGATCTTTATATGTAGAGCAAAATTTGTCGTAGACTCAAAGTTTGCGAATACTGTCTTCTGTGATATATTTGAATCACAATAGCGAAAAATTGCTCTTCTTTTCGGTTCCGTTTCTCCGAAATGTTATGTTTGATCAAGCTGGGTATTTTTTTTGTTTCACTTTATCTTTTGTCCTTCGAATAAAGTGATAATATCGAAGGCAATCTAAAAACTGCATATTTTTTTTTTTGGATAATGCTTTTTTTCCTAAGAGATCCAAAAAGTTAACGTATTGATATTTTTTGAAACAAAAAAAACATATCTACCTCAAACAGTGTCTAGTATATATGAACAAATTCCAACTCAATCGAAGTTCCTACATTGGAGAAACAGAAGCGAAACAATTTAGAATTTTTGCTATTTTCCTTATGTAAATTTGACTTCCCCCAATTTTTTATAGTTTAAAGATAATATTCGGGTCTGAAAATATAGTCAGTAGATAGATACTATTTGATACTATAAAATAGCCAGAAGAAGCCAAAAATTTTGTGTCAGGAAAATGAGAGAGAGGTAGAGGTATCCTTAAATTTGGTTTACGGTTTTTTTTTCAATGCATTAATAATACAATAGAAATTTATATTTCGATTAAAGTAATAAAACATCGATAATAAAACACTTTAATTGTTAAATATCATGAAGATCATCTATTGACAAGACTTTCATGTTATAAACATATGTTAAGATTTCCGAAAGATTTAATGATAGTTAAAAAATCGAATTCTCTTGTTTCATCCTCAATTTCACTT